CATACGTGTATTTGATCTGTCAGAAGATCTGCAATAAGTTTTGAATTGGACAACATGCTAACCAAAAACAAGGCCTATGTCTGTTCTTGGTACTGAACATCAGCAAAACTAACATACGTGTATTTGATCTGTCATAAGATCTGCAATACGTTTTGAATTGGACAACATGCTAACCAAAAACAAGGCCTGTGTCTGTCCTTGGTACTGAACATCAGCAAAACTAACATACGTGTATTTGATCTGTCATAAGATCTGCAATACGTTTTGAATTGGACAACATGCTAACCAAAAACAAGGCCTGTGTCTGTCCTTGGTACTGAACATCAGCAAAACTAACATACGTGTATTTGATCTGTCATAAGATCTGCAATACGTTTTGAATTGGACAACATGCTAACCAAAATAATACTAATATGTGTATTTGAACAACATCAAACAGCTTGCCTTTCTTGCGTTAGAATATGAATTCTCTTCCAGCGGCAATGCTGACTGTGGGGTGTTCGGAGGTTGGCCCTATCTTGCCTTTCAGTACATTAAGCGTGTGGTAAGTTTATTTTGTAATTTTTTTGTGATGGAAAATTGTTGAATGGAAAATTGAGAATTTCATGTTAATCTCCTCTTTGAATCATGCTAGGGCGCAATGCCTAAGAGGTAAGGTAATTGTTGTGTATGCTTCACTGTATCAAAACTTTACACGTAAAAGAACCCAGCAGAAACTCAAACAAGTTGAAAATAAAAAAAAAAACACCTACCACTCCCGGAACGCCTGCAAAGGAGGCTAAGCTAGTGTGAACGCTATGAATGTGTGACAAGACCTTAACCATCTCGTACGTTCCCGTACAGGGAGGTATAGAGAAGGAGGAGGACTACCCGTACTGTAGCGGGCTGGGAGGGAAGAAGGGCACCTGCTTCCCCTGCCCCGCCCCCGCCTATAACGCCAGCATGTGCGGTCCTGCCGTCAGCTACTGTAACGAAACGGAGAGCTGCGGCTTCAGACTCGACAAGTCCAGGTTCATTCCGGGACTACAGGTCACGGACTGGAAGGCTATTGACCAGGTACGATCGGGGTCGTGTGGCGTAGTGGTAGTGTGTTCGGCTCAGGACCAAGAGATCCCGGGTTCGAATCCTACCCATGTCACCGATCTTGTGCCCTTGGGAAAGGCACTTTACACTACTTTCCTCACTTCACTTCACGTGGAAATGAGTACCTAGCTTCGGTTAGGGACGTCCCGCGGATAGGACGTTAAATGGAGATCCCGTGTTTGGGGAGAGCCACACCCCACGCACGTTAAAGAACCCACCGCACTTATCGAAAAGAGTAGGGGACCTTCCCGGTGTGAGTGGTTCAAACCTTTCAGTCCGGTCATATGCAGCTTGTACTTACATGTACAAAACTGGTGTGTTACGCCTAAAGGCGGTTTACCGGTTATGCGAAACAAACAAACAAGATGCACGAAAATTACGATTTACATTCCTAATACAATGAATGTATGATCTTAATTTGTAAGTTTTAGTCCATGTGGGCTAAATGTCGTAGTGTTCCTGAACAGTCAGAGAAACAGAACTACACTGGAGGGTCGTGTGGGGCCGTGGCGTGGCGGTAGCGTGTTCGGCTCGGAACCAGGAGGTCCCGGGTTCGAACCCTACCTTGTCACCTGGGAAAGGCACTTTACACGAATTCTTCACTCAGATGAAAATGAGCCAGCCAGAATGATCATTTTTATGATCGTGGGCATTAAAAGAAAACCAAACACTGCAACTACCATTAATTACAGAATTGTCGTTTACATTTCACTTCTTAAAACAGTTGTAAACGAGATTCTGTTGTACAATGTTACCATGTTGTCACTGCCCAAGGGACAAAAAGCCGTCCCTCCTAGAAATTTGTGACACTGACACTTGCGTCGGTCATAACGTTAGGACTAGACAAAGGAGGGTGGATGAAATTTCTTGATCTTTCGAATTCAATGCTTACGTGGATGTCAGACATAATATTAGCTGCTGCGGGCTTACGGAGGCGAGCGTCCGTCTCACAGAGTCACCAAATAAGGTAATTTGTGAAGCTCCGTTTCGTTTAATGCATTACCACTGTGACAATATTTTGTCCCCGATAGTACCCTGATAGGCCCTGATAGTACCAAGCAGTGTAGCAGATCGCCGAAATTAAAATCGTGAGCGCGCACGCAACTACCACCGAGGAGGTTATCATAATCCTCTAAAATGACAAAAAACGTAACAAAACCGACAGATATCATTAAAGAAAGTTTATTTTCCATAGCCTGAGCTGACATTATTCTAAGCCACGATCTATATATACCTATGGCTTCTCCGCGGACGCTGGGGACGAGCGTGTCACGACACGTGGAGTCTGGAGGCGGAGACCCGGGCCACCTGCGCGTTGTTATTCCCGTTAGTTGGAAACCGCGTCCTTGAAACAGCGGGAATGAAAACACTGTGCGCGCGCGTGTCAATCATCTTATGGTACGCTCTTTCAAGAAAGCCTAGCTTTAGCGTCAAGGAACAGTGGGGGATCCGCTCCCGGGTTTGGATTTTGCCAGTGTTTGGACTTGATTTGAGATGCTACGTGCCCACGCACTGGTGCGCTGTCAATCGGGGGTGTTGATGGGTGTTTTCCCCTGACAACCTAAGGCCATGTTGATTTGATTATAATGGATGACATCCGCGCGCGCATGAATTTTCGGCCGTTTCCAAAACAAAAAAAAGTTTTCAACCATACTGTAAATCGTACAAAACAGTTGCAAAATGAGCAAAAATATACCATAAGTTACAAAAAATTAATAAAAACTATACCAATGTCGTAGAATGCCAAAATCAAACGAAAAAAGACGAAATTGTAAAGAAATGAACTTGAAGACTAGATTATTCGCCAAACCATATTCTGTGCCATTTGCTCAACCCTCATGACCACGTAGATTTCATAATGAAAATAACTTTTTTTTAGCAAAACTTTTTTTTATTCGCACGCGCGCATCAGTTTTGGGGCTCCCGGAGGATGTCATCCATATAATCAAATCAACATGGCCTAATCTCCAAGCAGATCCCTTTAGGTGGCAAAAAGACAGTATCAAATTGGCCAGGCAGTATCCATTAGCCAGAGAAGTTTGCCGGCCACCGACGGTGGTGAGGGTAGCGACAAATTGAAAACGGCCATATATAAAAAGCTAACGATCATTCCCCCACAACCTCTGCTTGGAGAATACTGAGAACCTTCCAAAGAGCTGGAGACAACTCGGAATCTATGTCCATGACGACGCCAGTATTCGGCCAATCAGATCGCTCAAATGGCAGACGTCAAATTCAAAATTAATCTTGCCATAAGTCCCAAGTCAGAAAGTTTAACGGTCCACTTGCACTGCAGTTACTCTGCGACAAAAGTTCTTTTGTTTAGCAGAAACATCTTTTAGCGACCTGGTCATGGTCTAGTCTCTACCAGACCAGTCCAGTTAGAATAAAAGGTATAAACATTTGCTCAAATCTGACCAAAATAGAACCAGAACCGTTGTAACAAGAATACAATCTGCAAAGTCACAGCCAGTAACTCTTTTATTCCTGTATTTAGGGGGTCAGATAACACTACGTTCATATGTATGACATGACACGGCAACCCTGACAACTATCCCTCACCCCTGGCCAAAGGTTCTACACTTGAATTTCCGTTCGGCCTTTAGTTCTGCCTGCCTCTGATTGTCACAATGCATTCCTTGCCCGTAGAACGAGACGACGATAGCGGGGCAGCTGATGGAGATCGGGCCGCTGTCCGTGGCGCTGAACGCCGCCCTGCTGCAGTTCTACCACAGGGGGGTGTTCGAGCCGCACTTCTGCGACCCGAAAAGCCTGGACCATGGTAAGGACTAGATATTTCATAAACAAGAAATATAGATGGATGCCAGACTTTTTACTCGTGCTAGCCTCTACCAGGCTTCGGTTGGAAAGAGTAGAAAGTCGCCAAATTGAGATACCATGCCGAGGGAGTCGGTCCGCTAGAAAGTACAGTTTACCGCACCCGCAATTTCAGGCCGCTAAAATAAAAATATTCTGGGTGAGGAAATTTGTCTGATATTGACACTTACATCCATTTCTTAACGCATTTTCGTCAACTTTTCATACTTGAAGCGTTTGAAATAGCGCTGAAACAAGCTACACGAGGAGTCCCTTTATTTTTTGGTACCGCCCATAAATAGCCAGAACCAGCCTATGATACAAAACAAGCAACAGTTTTCCGTCAGTGACATCACAATTTTGCCTATCAGTATGCTTTGGGATAAGGTTGATTCAACTTACTACACGTACATTTTTAAAGTTGAAATTGCACCGGATGCCTCTAAGGCATGTCATGCCTAAAAAAAAGCTTTGATCAGTTTGAGTAGAAGTGACAAAGTAAATCAGCTGTATCTTCAGTTTGGTAAGGATAAAAACGTGAAATTTGAGACACCTTTGAATAAGATGAATGGCTTCTCGCATTGCATTACATGTTGGCAAGTCTGATCTGTAAAAATCATACAATTTAGCAACATATTCTACGTTTATTGGCAAATTCAAAAGACTTGCAGGCAGTTTGGATCAGTGGAATTTTATGAGGTGTTGTAAGAAGGAAATACATTTGTACTACAGGAACCAGTTTTTGGGAAAAAAATTTTTTAAGTTAATTTGTTTTTAATTTTTGGTGATTTTTAGGGCTAACAAAGGCTTTGACGGCGAAGATGAGCAAGAGAGACAAACAGAAAAAGAGTAGTGAAGATGTACATGTATAGCATTCATCTGGTGTGATAGTCAAGGCTTATGATTATAATATTCATTTTTTGCAATGACTAGCCCAGGCGACAGGATGGCAGTGTGTCAAATGAGCTCGTAATAACTGACATAATTGGAGAAAAATTGGAGGGAAATACATGAAAGGTCCATTTTGAATTGTCAATTTCCTTTTAACTCAGAATTCACGTCAGTGCCTTTTGATCACATTAACGCTGTGACAACCACAATAAGCTGGTCTGCCCCTGAAGCAATGTGAACCAAGAGTGTTTTGATCTGATCAGTGGATACCTGTGGCCATATTCCACTGGATCATTTAATCAGGATGTCTGTATCCCCCTACGGCTACGTGGATGCTCGGATATGGTTTACTTTAAATACATGTACGTCAGGTATGTTGCTCGGAAGCGCTGTACAGAAAATAGGAAATGGAACGAAATGGAGCGAAATGAAAGGAAAAAAGAAAAAGAAATCTGTACAATTGTGTCAATGAAATTAAATGAAATACATGTAGATGGCGAAATATAAGGCAAGGAACTTTTAAAAAAGTTTGAATAGAGAAGAAAGTGATAGATAAATAAGTAAATAAGCTGACATGATTTATTTCTTGTACATGCATAAACAAAGAGCTTTTAAAGACTTGGTATAAAATAACGCTTGCCTAATGCACTCTTTGTGAATTCTGAAAATGTAATGTTACCGTCAATTTCTTTATTCTAGCACTTGCTTCAGAATCTGTTTCCCATGTCGTGATTTCCTGCAAATCGCCGCAGTTTATTTAGAATATCATATCGTTCAACGTTGGTAAGCAGTGGTGGATCTTTTGCATGCGGCGACCCCATTTTCGGGGAAGAAATTAGCCACACATACGTACAAACACAAAAAATTAGTAGTATCGAATAGGTTTTAGAAATTAAACACGTTAGATTATTTATTTACTGCTCACGTTTATATTTAAAACTTCATGTTACATGTTTTTTTTTCCCTTCCATTTCGTTCTATTTCGCACTTTCTGAGGTCCCGTGACTTCCCAGCGTCTGACTAAGCGTACTAGAGCTAAAAAGACTGGCCCCCAGGCTACTGGCATCCAGCTACCCGTTTCATGTAACATGAAACACGTACACGCAGGTCTTGTTCTATTTTTATTCCAGCTCTCGTGCACGAGAGTATGGGAGTTGAACACTCGGATGCTTCGTCCAATGGATGCCTGAAGTTGTTTCTTTTACTGCCATTTTATTTTCGTCATGCTATCAAAATCTGAAGTAGCACAAAAACTGAAGGTAAACAGGCAAAACACATTGTGCGAGTATTGGAGTTAAACACACACCACTACCAGCGGACCTGTGGTCCTGTGTGGCACAGGGGCCAAAGAAACAACTTTTTTCTTTTTTCTCACTCTGCTCTGTTTAGCTGTGTTGCTGACTGGCTGGGGCGTGGAGAAGACCATATTCGGAGAAAAGAAGCCCTACTGGATCATCAAGAACTCCTGGGGGAAGAAGTGGGGAATGGACGGCTACTTCTACATCAAGCGGGGGGTCGGGATGTGCGGCATCAACACACAAGTAGCCACTGCCATTCTCCAGAAAACTTAACGGTGCATAACCACAGGCCAGGTCTTTTCCCGACGGTGGTAGGAAAAGTAAGGAAAGGGTTTCAAGGGTCTGAGTTTGAGTTCGCAATACGATAATCTGCTACGTATACGGATGACATTAAATACTAACATGATGACTGAACAGTGTAAGAAGTATTTTTGGGGGAAAATTTCTTTTTGACTCGAGCCTTATTAGCTTACTTTCGGGTACGTTTCTGGTACCGAAAGTGGCGCGTCCGTCTGTCCGCATCACTGGCGTTGTGTAAGTGGAATTGCTACACCTCTCGCCGTGACTGATTAAAAACATAACCGTACTAGGGCTGTCTTTATAATCGACTAGAGTACACCCAGGGTTTCTTTCTGTCAATTTCAGTAATATTTACCGTGATCCCCCCCCCCCATAGGTATTGTCATATTCTCAAATTTGCGTCTTATTTATGACATGACAGTAACGATTTTTTGTGAACTTTGAAGGGATATTCTTTATAGCAGTATATAGTTATGTTTCTTCCAAATTATTCCCTGAGAGAAACGGTCACTCAACAGAGTAACAGGTAGCTGATGAGCAGGAGCGTGATTTCACCCCCCCCCCCCATGAAAACCATCACTTGATACACGTTTTTTAAATGCAAGGACATAATGTCCTTGTTAAATGCAAAGTCCTACAAGAATGTGGTCGAGGAACAGCATGATACAAATCAATCTACGAGTGAAATACTTCTCAGAGCAGCTGCGCAACCTTTTAATTACAGTTTGCCCGGTCTATTGAAACACGAATAAAACACGGAGACGTCAGCCTCATACCAAGCGAATCTCTGCCAAAACCTGGGAACGCAAAGCAAAAACATGCAAATATTTGACGGACTTATTGGTAGAATGTCTAATCACCATGCTGTCATTTATTGTGATGGGCGTCAAGATCTGTCTATTAAATGTTCAGGCAGAACGCATACATATGAAAGAGTTTCATCCACCCAGCACGCCAGTCGCAGCGTTTTGTGGAAACAACCAATATCTGACGGTAACAACCATCTTCCAGTCGTGTGATCTGTTTCCATGTCATTTAAAGATTTCCAAGGTAGCACATATATTTCAATAATATCACATACAGCATGAAAATAAAAATTATGTTTTAAACAGGTCTACGAACGATAACATTCTAACAAACAGATGGTAAAATAACAAATACAACTTTCAATAATCTTTGTGTCTGAAGGTATGAAGTATTTCTGATCTCCATCTATGTAACAGAAAATATGTATAATAATCATTCCTGTTAATCTTCCAAACTCATGCGAATTGTCCTCATTTAGCGTTTGATGAGTTTCATAATTATTTTACAGACATTAGGAAGAAGAAGCCATAAATATAATCAACCTATCACCCATTTATACTTCTGTCCACTAAAATGTTTCATACATGATTTACCTTGAACAGCGAATCACAACTTAACGCCCTGTCGTATTATGGACTGAGAGCCTTTACAGCAGCATGCATGTTCGGTGAGCGACAACAGCCGGGATTTGAACTCCCAATCTCTTGGTCCAGAGGCAGGGTCGCTAACCACTATTTAATGCACGCACGAACAATACTCAAACTCCAGCAAGGAATAACTGTTTCATTTCAAAGTCTCCACTACTGAAATTACTGCCTTGGAAGATACAGGAGATGGAACTCTTAATTTCCTGTCATTGTGTGGGGCGCGGTTCTAAGGAGGCACCTGGAGAGAGAACTAATTCAGTTACTTCTGGAAACAAACGGCTCCATGTTAAAACCTGGTGGTATTCATGCTCTATGATGAACCCGACATCCTGTTTATTAGTGTCTGGCTACCAACCTGTGGTCCCTGACGGCTTCCTTTCGTCATCAACCCTGATAGCTAGTTACACCTCATGTGGATCTATAGAATTTAGACTCTCCTCAGAGAAAATAGACATCCTGTTTACATCTTAGATTTGTGGAGGATGCTTCCTCCTATGGATGCTGAAGTTGTTTCTGTTACTTCCATTTTATTTTCGTCGTGCTATCAAACTTTATTTTCGTCATGCTATCAAAATTTGAAATAGCACAAAAACTGAATGTAGCAGAACAAATTCTATGATTTCTTGTAGTTTTTCAATGTACATTTAGTTGGATCCAAACAGACCGATCACACGCCAGAATGCATTGTACATCTCGGATGCCCAGCCTAGGCCGCACCAGAACCCTGAGATTAGTGAGAAAGATTTTAACTTATCACTCTGCTCTTATTACTCCGTGTAGCTGTTCTTCTGGGGGTATTGGGGTTAGACACACACCACTACCAGCGGACCTGTGGTCCTGTGTAGCACAGGGGCCAAAGAAACAAAGTTTTGACTTCTTTCTCATCCCCATGTTTAGCTGTTTTGCTGACTGGCTGGGGCGTGGAGAAGACCATATTCGGAGAAAAGAAGCCCTACTGGATCATCAAGAACTCCTGGGGGAAGAAGTGGGGAATGGACGGCTACTTCTACATCAAGCGGGGGGTCGGGATGTGCGGCATCAACACACAAGTAGCCACTGCCATTCTCCAGAAAACTTAACGGTACACAACCACAGGCATGGGTCTTTTCCGCGGTAGTGCGCGGTAGGAAAAGTAAGGAAAAGGGTTTCAAGGGTCTGAGTTTGAATTCGCAATACGATAATCTGCTGCAAATACGGATGACATTAAATACTAACATGATGACTGAACAGTGTAAGAAGTATTTTTTGTGAAAATTGCTTTTTGACTCGAGCCTTAGCTTACTTTCGGGTACGTTTCTGTGCTGAACGTGGCGCGTCCGTTTGTCCATCACTGGCGTTGTGTAAGTGCATGGAGGTTCTACCTCCATGGTAAGTGGAATTGCTACACCTCTCGCCGTGGCTGATTTCTTTATAATCGACTAGAGTACACTCAAGGTTTTCTCTCTGCCAATTTCAGTAATATTTGCCGTGATTTCCCCCCGTAGGTATTGTCATATCCTCAAATTTGCGTCTTATTTATGACATGACAGTAACGATTTTTTGTGAACTTTTAAGGGATATTCTTTATAGCAGTATATAGTTATGTTTCTTCCAAATTATTCCCTGAGAGAAACGGTCACTTGACAGAGTAACAGGTTGCTGATGAGCAGGAGGGTGATTTCACCCCCCCCCCATGAAAACCATCACTTGATACACGTTTTTTAAATGCACGGACATAATGTCCTTGTTAAATGCAAAGTCCTACAAGAATGTGATGTCGAGGAACAGCATGATACAAATCAATCTACGAGTGAAATACTTCTCAGAGCAGCTGCGCAACCTTTTAATTACAGTTTGCCCGGTCTATTGAAACACGAATAAAACACGGAGACGTCAGTCTCATACCAAGCGAATCTCTGCCAAAACCTGGGAACGCAAAGCAAAAACATGCAAATATTTGACGGACTCATTGGTAGAATGTCTAATCACCATGCTGTAATTAATTGTGATGGGCGTCAAGATCTGTCTATTAAATGTTCAGGCAGAACGCATACGTATGAAAGAGTTTCATCCACCCACACTAGTTGCAGCGTTTTCTATGTGGAAACAACCAATATCTGACGGTAACAACCATCTTCCAGTGGTGTGATCTGTTTCCATGTCATTTAAAGATTTCCAAGGTAGCACATATATTTCAATAATATCACATACAGCATGAAAATAAAAATTATGTTTTAAACAGGTCTACGAACGATAACATTCTAACAAACAGATGGTAAAATAACAAATACAACTTTCAATAATCTTTGTGTCTGAAGGTATGAAGTATTTCTGATCTCCATCTATGTAACAGAAAATGTGTATAATAATCATTCCTGTTAATATTCCAAACTCATGCGAATTGTCCTCATTTAGCGTTTGATGAGTTTCATAATTATTTTACAGACATTAGGAAGAAGAAGCCATGAATATAATTAACCTATCACCCATTTATACTTCTGTCCACTAAAATGTTTCATACATGATTTACCTTGAACAGTGTCAGTGAATCACAACTTAACGCCCTGTCGTATTATGGACTGAGAGCCTTTACAGCAGCATGCATGTTCGGTGAGCGACAACAGCCGGGATTTGAACTCCCAATCTCTTGGTCCAGAGGCAGGGTCGCTAACCACTATTTAATGCACGCACGAACAATACTCAAACTCCAGCAAGGAATAACTGTTTCATTTCAAAGTCTCCACTACTGAAATTACTGCCTTGGAAGATACAGGAGATGGAACTCTTAATTTCCTGTCATTGTGTGGGGCGCGGTTCTAAGGAGGCACCTGGAGAGAGAACTAATTCAGTTACTTCTGGAAACAAACGGCTCCATGTTAAACCCTAGTGGTATTCATGCTCTATGATGAAGCCGACATCCTGTTTATTAGTGTTTGGCTACCAACCTGTGGTCCCTGACGGCTTCCTTTCGTCATCAACCCTGATAGCTAGTTACACCTCATGTGGATCTATAGAATTCAGACTCTCCTCAAAAAGAGAATAGGCATCCTGTTTTCATCTTAGATTTGATGAGGATGCTTCGTCCTATGGATGCTGAAGTTGTTTCTGTTACTTCCATTTTATTTTCGTCGTGCTATCAAAATTTATTTTCGTCATGCTATCAAGTACCACAAAAACTGAAGGTAGCAGAACAAATTCTATGATTTCTTGTAGTTTTGAATATACATGTACTCGTAGTTGGATCCAAACAGACTGTCACACGCCAGAACGCACTGTACATCTCGGATGCCCAGCCTAGGCCGCACCAGAACCCTGAGATTAGTGAGAAAGATTTTAACTTATCACTCTGCTCCTATTACTCTGTTTAACACAAACACAAAAACTGAAGGTAAACAGAACAAATTCTATGATTTCTTGTAGTTTTAAATATAGCTGGGTTCAAACAGATATCACTCGGCAAATGCACAATGCGAGTATTGGAGTTAAACACACACCACTACCAGCGGACCTGTGGTCCTGTGTGGCACAGGGGCCAAAGGAACAAAGTTTTGACTTCTTTTTTCTCACTCTGCTCTGTTTAGCTGTGTTGCTGACTGGCTGGGGCGTGGAGAAGACCATATTCGGAGAGAAGAAGCCCTATTGGATCATCAAGAACTCCTGGGGGAAGAAGTGGGGAATGGACGGCTACTTCTACATCAAGCGGGGGGTCGGGATGTGCGGCATCAACACACAAGTAGCCACTGCCATTCTCCAGAAAACTTAAGGGTGCACAACCACAGGCATGGGTCTTTTCTCCGTGGTAGTGCGCGGTAGGAAAAGTAAGGAAAAGGTTTCAAGGGTCTGAGTATCAGTTTGAGTTCGCAATACGATAATCTGCTACGTATACGGATGACATTAAATACTAACATGATGACTGAACAGTGTAAGAAGTATTTTTTGGGGAAAATTTCTTTTTGACTCGAGCCTTATTAGCTTACTTTCGGGTACGTTTCTGGTACCGAAAGTGGCGCGTCCGTCTGTCCGCATCACTGGCGTTGTGTAAGTGGAATTGCTACACCTCTCGCCGTGACTGATTAAAAACAAAACGGTACTAGGGTTTTCTTTATAATCGACTAGAGTACACCCAGGGTTTCTCTCTGCCAATTTCAGTAATATTTGCCGTGATTTCCCCCCATAGGTACTGTCATATCCTCAAATTTGCGTCTTATTTATGACATGACAGTAACGATTTTTTGTAAACTTTGAAGGGGTATTCTTTATAGCAGTATATAGTTATGTTTCTTCCCAATTATTCCCTGAGAGAAACGGTCACTCGACAGAGTAACAGGTAGCTGATGGGCAGGAGCGTGATTTCACCCCCATGAAAACCATCACTTGATACACATTTTTTAAATGCAAGGACATAATGTCCTTGTTAAATGCAAAGTCCTACAAGAATGTGGTCGAGGAACAACATGATACAAATCAATCTACGAGTGAAATACTTCTCAGAGCAGCTGCGCAACCTTTTAATTACAGTTTGCCCGGTCTATTGAAACACGAATAAAACACGGAGACGTCAGTCTCATACCAAGCGAATCTCTGCCAAAACCTGGGAACGCAAAGCAAAAACATGCAAATATTTGACGGACGCATTGGTCGAATGTCTAATCACCATGCTGTCATTAATTATGATGGACGGCAGGATCGGTCTAGTGAATATCCTAACAGAGCGAATACATAGAGAAGCGATTTGTTCACTCACGGTAGGGCCACACCAATTTAATTTCTTAGTTAACGGATTTTTCTAGAAAAATAATGGAGCGGGCGAGCGAAAATAAAAAAATTAAAACAGGCCTAGGCATCCTATTATGGCCCAAAATAGTACTGTAGGAGCCATGAAGTCAACACACCAGGCTGGTTCAAAATGTAAACAATGAATTTTGGACTTTTAATGATACCACTGCATTGAAAGATGGAATAACTGTAACAAGTAGGAAGAAAAGGACTGTTTTCAACTGTTCAGGGCAAAAATATGAGCATTTTACAGTTGATTCTGAATTTTTTTTAATGCAAATCAGAAAATAATGAAGCGGCGAATCCGCTAACCAAGAAATTAAATTGGTGTGGCCTAGTCACAGAGTTTTGTGGAAACAAAGTCTGACGGTAACAGCTATGAGGGTCTATCTTTCAGTCGTGTTGTTTGTCCCCATGTCATTAACAGATTTCCAGGGTAGCAAATACATTTCAATGACATCACATACAGCATAAAAATTTCAAAAGGTCTACAAAATGATGACACGTATACATTGTAAGAAAAACAGAGGGTAAAATAACAAATAAACTTTCAATAATATTTCTGTCTCAGGGTATGAAGTATTTTGTATCTCCATCCATCCAACAAAAAATAGTTATTCCAAACTCATGCGAATTGTCCTCATTTAGCGTTTTATGAGTTTAATAATTATTTGACAGACACTAGGAAGACGAAGACATGTAGATACATGACCCATCACTTCTTAAAACCTCTGTCCACTCAAATCTTTAAGACATTTCTCACCTTGCTCAGTCGGTGTCTTCCCCGCTGCTGGAGATTTCAATCAGTCCAGGAATCTTCACCGACCTTGAGGAGGCCACGAAGAACACATCTGGGCGGCTGGAGCTCGGTTCGTTTCTGGGACCCTTTCTTCGACTGACCGCCCATTTAGGCGGCTGGTCAGCCCTACTGTCCGTACTCGGTCCAGCAATAGCGTCCATTGGCATTGACCCCGCAACTCCAACGCGGTTTGATCTCGGTGCGTTTCTGGGACCCTTTCTTCGACTGAACGCCCATTTAGGCGGCTGGTCAGTCTGACTGTCCGTACTCGGTCCAGCAACAGCGTCCATTGTCCCCGCATCCACATCACGGCTTGATCTCAGTGCGTTTCTAGGATTCTCTGCCGCTCTTCGGCTGACTGCCCATTTAGGCGGCTGGTCAGTCCGACTGTCCGTACTTGGTCCAGCAGCAGCTGCGACCATTCTCCCTGGACCTCCAACAATCTGAATGTTCACCACTTGGTTCGATGACCACCCCAACTTTTCCCGAACCGCGGTGGCGAGTCGTCGCGCCCTGCGATGCACGGCTTCCCGAATCTTCTTGATCCTGAGTGCGTAGATGACCGGGTTGATCGCCGAATTACAGAGCGCGATCAGCAACCCCCAGAATGGCCTTGCCTCTATCTCACAGTCTTCTCTTGCGAAGCACAAAAGGTGCCGCACACCCCCGACACAAATGGGCAGCCAGAAGATGATGAACACCGCTGCGATGATGACAACGGTCACCTGCATCTTCCACACGGTTTGGAGCTGCTGGCGCTGTCTGGCCGCGACTCGCTGTCCCTGCGGCGGTCGGCGGGCAGATCGTCTCGAGGGTTCTCGGGGGGACCCAGTCTGGAGAATCGCTGCTTCACTTCGATGAAGATTCTGACGTTGACCAAGACCACTGTCACTACGGCCATGAACAAGATGGTGTTGATCAGAATCACGTAACCTACGGGCGGCATCGTCATGCAGGTTTCGGTGTCCATATCGATGCAGTTCCACCCCATGAGAGGAGACAAGCAGACAAGCGCACAAGCTGGCCACGCGATCCCCAAACTCACGGCAACGTGTCGCCCAGACATGCGGGTCTGGTAGAATATCGGGTGGAGGATGGCCAGATAACGGTCCCCGGACAGGAGGACCACGCCGACTGCTGATGAGACCAACACCAAAAAGAAGGCGCAGTACAAGCCCATCATTGCCCACGGTCGAGTCAGTTCCAACTGTAAGCAGGCGCAGAAGAAGAACGAGAACAAACCGGCCACGCAGTCCGCTACAGCCAGGTTTGCCACAAACATGAACATGGGTTTAGAGAGTTGATGGTTTTTCAGCACTCCGGACAAAACCACGAGGTTCATGAGGAGAGCGACTGTCCCGACAGCGGCGGAGGCGATCCCGACTTTCTTGTTCTCGTCCAGAATCAGATCGGGGAGATGAGAGCACGCAGCTACGGCCAGGTCGTACTCAAACTTGTTCTCCAAGTGCCAGAGAAAACACGGCACGAAACTCTCGAACACCGTGGAGTTTCCTCCGGTGAGGTTCCCCGTGCTGCCGTTCATTTTCCGATGCTTACTGAAGACAAGTATATTGCCTCTCGTAAGAAACGCTAAATTGGAGTT